TTGTGGAAGAAGCTGAGGTATTGGTGCCTGGAAGGAAGAAGAGCTGGTCACAGAGCAAGAGAGAATAAAGACAAACTGGGAGCCACCACTACCTCTGCATCTTTCCCACCATATGTAACCACAGTGACATTGAAAGTGTCATGGCCTTGTGCAAATTTTTCTCATACCTAACTTTAACCAAGAGCTATACAGGGAATGAGATCCTGAGAAACATGGTTTCAGTTTGGCTAAGATGACATAGTACAGAACTACCACACTGCTATTTTTAAAGATCATATGTATATTAATTCATTTATCCTGCAATTATTTAAGAAGAAGTTACTACTTGCAGGCTCTTTGCTAGTTGTTGAAGATACAATTCTAAGCAAGATTGTCTCTTTTCCTCAAAGTTCAAGATTTTTTCAAGAACACAAATATAAGAAACACATAAAGTAAAATTTAGAGAGAATTAAAGGTAAAATTAAGAGAGTAGACGAAGCCCTTGCAATAGAGTCACTAGGGAAGTCTTCCCGAGCAATGGGACATTTGAACTGATACCTGATGGATGGGTGCAGGCGATGAATGGGGAGGGAACCCAGGGAAAGAAATTCACATGTGAAATGGCACAGAGTGAGAGACAGCGTGTGTTGGGACAAGTGAAAAGCATCAGTATACCTGGAATGCCGAGTCCCGGGAGGAATAGCTAATCATTGATGAACAAATTCCTCTTTATTTTGTAAATTGTTATAAATGGATTTAAATTTTTCCTGCTCCAGTACTCATTTTGATAGCAATTCAGTCATTCAAAAAGGCATGCCATTTTAAAATTTCCCTGATCCTAAAGTGTGCTTTAATTGGTATTATTGCCTCAAAGCAGATGTTTTAAAAATAATTAAATCTGATGAAAATTTCATTTTATTGTAAATCTCTATTTAAATTTGTCTAAAAGTATAACATAAACAAGAGCATGTGTTTACCAAAACTTTCTTTCCTCCTAGTAACAACTTCTTTACTTCTGGGTGGTCACCATTGTTGTATTTGTTTTCAAAGAGAAATATAGGAAGACTCACTTATAAACTAAAAGACAATGGAATTTTGCTTAGAATTACAATGCCAAAGAAACCACAATTATGCATTACTTCATATAGTTATTAATAGCATGGTTGAGCTTTATCTACAATGATATACTGTATTTTTGAAGCTGAAATATTAATATATGTGTATGGAAGGAAGAAATACTTCACCTTAGATTAAAATACACAGGCTATAAAAACTAGAATGTGTATTCAATAAAGTACATGACTGCAAAATATACATAGGAAAAAAGCAAAAGGTTTCACCTACAACTATAATTAACTTTATTTTAAAACTTGTAGTATTGCATTAATAAGAATAAATAATTAGACAAATAAAATCAACAAGAATATGTAGACTTTGAATAATGTAATAAACTCCAATCAAATTTCTCATGGGAGCTTTGTACAATTGAAATGGGATTTTAATGTTTGTTTTAAGTAATAACTTGTTATCCTAAGAAAATATTAGGAGAGCATATGAGCACCTTTTATAGTAAAATAAATTATGAATCTACAAACACCAAATCAATATAATTTTAGTATGGAAATAGACAAGCAGTTAATGGAGACAAATAAAAAAATACAAAAACAGATTTCAGTGTTTAAGTATTTGTGTACATGTTTATACGTGTTTGGGATTCAAATATAATAAAAACATAACTTTAAATCAGTAGGTAACGGATAATTTTATTGCTGAAGCATTTACTCATGGAGCTAAATTTTATTTTGGTATAAAATAAATGAGAAATATATATATATACACACATATATATATATAAAACATCTCATACAATACTGATAACCTCAGGTTATGTTTAAAAAACTGAAAATATATCTTTCCTTTTCTGCACGCTGATGTACTAAAATAACATGAAAAACTTTCCTATTTCCATAGAAATTCTGACAGAAGGAAATATAACAACCAAAAATTTGACCTTGTAGATAAAATTACAAGAAAGAAAAGTACCAGAAATAAATAGTATATTTCACATTTTGCCTCAGACAGTCCTATTGTCTGAGTATCATACTTCCAAAAACATCTTGGTTTAGTTGACTCCAATAATTGTAAGGTGGAACTAGAAGCTCATGAACTATCAGTGTACCTGGTCCTGGTATAGGGAGTGAAGTGTGATGGAAATAAAGTTAGTAATTTTAATTTCAGTAAGTTAGAACATAACTTTAATTCTCATCTGGGAACAGATGAGTTCTAGAGCCGATCTAAGCAGAGGAATTGAGATCCTTGTACTGTGTCTGTTTTGTAGGATTGATAGAGTGCTATATCCCCTTCCAGGAATAAAAGACTCACTACAGTTATTGTGGGTATGATTGGTGAACAATCTTTTGCTGTCAGCTCCCTGTGGGAACTGTCTCAGCCAAAGAGAATTGTGTTACCAAAGCTACACTATTTTCCCAGGGCAGCCAGCATCCAGTGATGGACTGACAGAGGGGTAAAAAAAGTCCTGACCTTTCCGCAATAGGAAACAGCTATAGAGCCCATACCAACTCCAAAGCTGTACATAGGGTCAGCTGAGGCAGCTGATGTAACTGGATCACAGCTCAACTTCTTTCTCTTTCAAATCTTATTTTCTTTCTTTTCCTTCCACAGGTGTTAATCCCAAGAACATTTCCTAACAAATGGCTTGAACACTAAACTCTATCTGTTTTCCAGCAAACTCAGTCTATGATATGCACCTTCTGTAAAAGAGTAAGTTAGAAATAATCTGCCTCGAGCAATCAGGCAAGAGAAAGAAATAAAGTGTACTCGAATAGGAAGACAGAAAGTCAAATTGTCTCTGTTTGCAGGTGACATGATTGTATATTTAGAAAACCCGATAGTCTCAGCCCAAAATCTCCTTAAGCTGATAAGCAACTTCAGCAAAGTCTCAGGATGCGAAATCAATGTGCAAAAATCACAAGTATTCCTATATACCAACAACAGACAAACAGAGAGTCAAATCATGAGTGAACTCTCATTCACAATTGCTACAAAGAAAATAAAATACCTAGAAACACAACTTAAAAGGGATGAGAAGGTCCTCTTCAAGGAGAACTACAAACCACTGTCCAAGGAACTAAGAGAGGACACAAACAAATGGAAAAACATTCCATGCTCATGTATAGGAAGAATCAATATGGTGAAAACGGGCATACTGCCCAAAGCAACTTATAGATTCATTGCTATTCCCATCAAGAACACCATTGACGTTCTTCACAGAACTAGAAAAAACTACTTTAAATTTCATGTGGAACCAAAAAAGAGCTCATATAGCCAAGACAATCCTAAGCAAAAAGAACAAATCTGGAGGCATCACGCTACCTGACTTCAAACTATAATATAAGGCTGTAGTAACCAAAACAGCATGGTACTAGCACCAAAACAGATACATAGACCAATGAAACAGAACAGAGGCCTCAGAAATAACACTACACATCTGCAACCATTGGATCTTCAACAAACCTGACAAAAACAAGCAATGGGGAAAGGATCCCCTATTTAATAAATGGTGCTGGGAAAACTAGCTAGTCATATGCAGTAAACTGAAACTGGACTCCTTCCTTACACCTTATCCAAAATTAAGTCAAGATGGATTAAAGACTTAAATGTAATACCTAAAACCATAAAAATCCTAGAAGAAAACCTAAGCAATACCATTCAGGACATAGACATGGGTAAATACTTCATGACTAAAACACCAAAAGCAGTTGCAACAAAAGCCAAAATAGAGAAATGGGATCTAATTAAACTAAAGAACTTCTGCATAGCAAAAGAAACTATCATCAGAGTGAACAGGCAACCTACAGAATGGGAGAAAAATTTTACAATCTATTCATTTGACAGAGGGCTAATATCCAGAGTCTACAAGAAACTTAAACAAATTTACAAGAAAAAAACAACCACATCAAAAAGTGGGCAAAGGATATGAACAGACACTTCTCAAAACAATACATTTATGCAGCCAACAAATATGAAAAAAGCTCATCATCACTGGCCATTAGAGAAATGCAAATCAAAACCACAATGAGATACCATCTCATGCCAATTAGAATGGTAGTCATTAAAAAGTCTGGAAACAACAGATACTAGCGAGGATGCAGAGAAATAGGAACGCTTTTACACTGTTCGTGGGAGTATAAATTAATTTAACCATTGTGGAAGACAGTGTGGTGATTCCTCAAGAATCTAGAACCAGAAATACTATTTGACTCAGCGATCCCATTACTGGGTATATACCCAAAGTATTATAAATCATGCTACTATAAAGACACATGCACATGTATGTTTATTGCGGCACTGTTCACAATAGCAAAGACTTGGAACCAACCCAAATGCCCATCAATGATAAACTGGATAAAGAAAATGTGGCACATATACACCATGGAATACGATGAAGCCATAAAAAAGTATGAGTTCATGTCCTTTGCAGGGACATGGATGAAGCTGGAAACCATCATTCTCAGCAAAGTAACACAGGAACAGAAAACCAAACACTGCATGTTCTCACTCATAAATGGGAGCTGAACAATGAGCACATATGGACACAGGGAGGGGAACAACACACACCAGGGCCTGTGGAGGGGTTGGGGGGGCCAAAGGGAGGGATAGCATAAGGACAAATACTTAATGTGTTAAAACCTAGATGACAGGTTGATGGGTGCAGCAAACCACTATGTCACATGTATATCTATGTAATAAACCTGCACATTCTGCACACATATCCCATAAATTCAAGTATAATAGTAATAATAAAGAAAAGAAATAATCTGCCTCATGGCACAGGATTAAATTAAGAAAAGCTGTTCATCTGTCTTTTCCAAGGTCCTGCATATGAGGGAAAATAAAAAGACTATCTGAAAAATCAAAACTCTGGACATGGTCCTTGCCCATATTGGGATCTAAAAGGTACTATAGTCATGTGGTCCAGGAAGCCTCATGCTGAAACATTCTCATGAAGTTGGTCTTTATTCAGAGAAGGTATCTGACTTTGCTGGCACAAAAGGTATACTAAGCCTCTTTCAAAAGGTAATTCCACATCCAGGCTGAATGTGATTCCTATAGAAAAAACAGAAACAATGCTACTAAAGATGAGTTCACAATAAAAATGTACAAAACACACCAAGAAATAGTGAAGTATCATAGTTTCAAAAATTTAACAAAATTTGATTGAGAACCTAAAAATAATATTTTTAAATGAATAGGTATAAAAACAAAAAGAATTGGACCCTTAGAAATAATAAGATGCTATAAAAATAAATTTAAACAAAAACTAAATGAATTTCTAAAATGAAATAAAAATACTGTGTAACAATTAAAGAGGATTTAGTATTTTTATGTGATTTATCCTATCTCAGTGGACAAGGTAAATAATATTAAACTAAAAAGATAAATTATGAATTGAGACTATAGAATTCAATAAATTACCTAGAATGCAATACAGAGATAAAACTTGGAAATCAGGAAAGAGGTTTTGACATACAGACAATAAAACCAAAATGTACTACACACATCTCCTATAATTTCACAGAAGAATAGCAGATAGAGAATGGCAGTGAGTCATTACTTGAAAAAAATGATAGCTAAACATTTTCTGAATAGATGAAACTCATGAATCTTACGACTTGAGAAGCACAATAAGTTAACTGCAGGAGAAATGAAAATAAGCCATCACCTAGACACATCTTAGTGAAAATGTTTAACACCAAAGACAAAAAGAAAATCTTTAAAACAACTGGATGAAAAAACTCCAATCACCTATAAAGTTAAAATGTCTGCAGCAGTATAAAGTGTTAACAACAATAGAGATCAAATACTATGAGAAAATAGCTCTAAATTTCATACAGACAATACATTTTACAATAGAATACTGGAGTAAGCTAAACTGTTATTCAGGACTAAGATTGTACTTATACAGATGAAAATAATTTGCTGGTTTTTTAACCATTATCTTGTGTTTAGGATAATTAAATTTTATCTGCTTTACATAGATACAATAAGAAATCATTGATGATGGCGGAAGACTAGTTTTGTTTCATTTATGAGATAACTGCAGATAATACACCACTTTAACAACATTTTTATATAGTCTTCAGACACACATACAGACACACAGACTGGAGAGGAATATTATTCCTCTTTTGCAGAGAATGTCATTGAGGTTCTGAAAAACTTTATGGCTTCTCCAGGCCTTTTGACTCCACTTCCTTTGTTCTCTTTACTATATACCATACTAGTTCAAAATAACCAACCAACCAAAACAAACAAAACAAAACAAATTAGCATGAATGTTAGGATTTTGTGAGTGCCAGAAAACACTATTTGACAAAAATTTTGCCTGATCTCATCAAATTTGACCTTGCAAATTGCTATGAAACCATTGTCTCATTCTTATTTAACTCCTAGATTTAAGAATCTTAAGTAGAGTGTCAATTTGTTAAAATATGTATGTGTATGTGTACATGTATGCATTAAAAGAGTGAATTTCAGTTCTAAGGAGATATGAATTATGTTGCATTTCTGTAAACCCAGGGTAATATAATAAGGTCAATACAGCTGTCCTCACTTATCCAAAGGATATATTCCAAGACCCTCAGTGAATGCCCGAAGCAGAGAATAGTACTGAACCCTAAATGTACTATGTTTTTCCTATACTTACATATGCAAATACATACATGTATTTTCCTCTATGTACAATATACACATGTATCTTCCTATATATATAATAAAGTTTAATTTATAAATTAGACAAAGAGGTAAATAATGGTGACTGTTAATAAATAGAACAAGTATAACAATATGCTGTAATAAAAGTTATATGAATACAATCTCTCTTTCTCCTCAAAATTCCTTGTACTATACTCACCGATTTTCAGACCTCAGTTGACCATGGGTAACAGAAATTGCTGAAAGGAAATCACAGATAGTGGGAGACTATTGTAGCTCATTTAGCAGTGTTTTCAGTATTCAACTCTACCTTTCTTCTAACTTTCATCACCTTACTTTATCTTATTTGACTTTCATTCTTTTGAGGAACTTAGGTTGACTTGCTCACTTATTTATCAAATACAACTCTCCTTTATCAAAATAGACTATTTTTTGTTTCACTAGTTATATCCTTTTAATTGCCCAATATACATCTTTTTTAAGAAAATTAATATTAGTGTTGATATTTTAAAAACCAAAGCTGGAATTCCTAGTAAAACACATTATGCCTGGTTGTACACAATTTGTTTGCCTTGGATATAAAAATATATTTGTGCTTCAGTTTTGCAAGTGAGAACATTTTAACAAGTGCAGTCCAGAGTACTGTCAACATTATTGGCATCCATTTGCTTCTCTTCTGGGAGGATGAATCATCAGTAACCAAACATCAGTAATAACACCTAAGATTCTAAAAACAGCTTTTGCAAAGCACATAGGATTTCACAGATGTTCCCAAGAAGTCGCATGTTACACCTCAGAATTAGGATGGTGACAACTACTAGTAAAATGTATCTGTTTATTAATTTGAGTTTAAATTGGTTACCCTAAAGTCAAAGAGAGATTGTTCAATAACACCAGGAAAAAAATCAGTGGGAATATGAAAAATCTAATCCATCAAACACATAACGTATTTTTAGATACTTTACAAAACATTTTATTTTTAAACTGAATTTTATAAACTATCTGGTTGCTCCATACTGTTAAGTATATACACAGTAGAGTCAAACTGGCAGCAATGTTAAAAATAGATTCGTATTTAAAGCATGAAAATAAATGTATTATTAACCATGCCTATTCTTGTTGATTTGCCAAAGAAGGTCTAATATTTAACCATCTAAAAAAATATAGAAAAAAATTTTTTTTTGCCATGGAAAATTTAAAGTGTTGCATGAACTGAATACGTTATGCAGAATTCCCTTTTGATGATCTATTTCAAGTCAATATATATTGCTTAAGTTTCTACTCTGTAATAGGCGATTGGCAAATTTGAGTGTCAAAGGTCCAAGGCACAGATACAAAAATGAGTACAACTGAGTTAAGACAGTCTTCAATTTCAAGACAATATATACATACAACCAACCAGATACAGGGTAGAATGAAGTGTACCTTAATGATAATGAATAGCATATTCTGTGATAGCTCAGAGGATGAACTGACTGATGCTGAGATGATTCAAGTAAAGCTTTATGTAAAAAGAAACCTTTGAATTTGCCATGTGAGGTGTAGCAATGCTTTCCAAAAGTGGAGACAAGGCATGGGAGCAGAGCAGACTAGATTACTTTAGGTTAAATCTTTGAGAGATGCAAATACTGCCATTTGAAAGAAAAAAAAAAGGCTTTATAATTTTCTGGAAATAATGATAAATACATTTTGTTTAGTGCTTAGTAGGTGCCTGACAGTTTACTTAGAGCTTAGTAAGAATTATTTTATTCAATACACTCTGGTATGACTTGAGTATTACCCTATTTTACTGATGCAGAAGTTGAGGCTTAGCAAGTATATTATAAAGCTTTTACTAAAGGTGACATGGCTCATTGGATATATTCATTTTATGTTACTATACAATAAAATACTATAAACTTAATGGCTTATATAATTCCTATTTATTTGTTTTTTTGAGACAGGGTCTCACTCTATTGCCCAGACTAGAGTGTGGTGGTGTGATCTCGATTCACTACAGCCTCTACCTTCTGGCTCAGGTGATCCTCCTACCTTAGCCTCCTGAATAGCTGGGACTACAAGTCATAAGCTACCATGTGTAGCTAATTTTTAAATTTTTTGTAGAAATGAGGTCTCACTATGTTGCCTAGGCTGGTATGGAACCTCTGGGCACAAGCAATCCTCCCATCTTGGCCTCCCAAAGTGCTGGGATTACAGGCATGAGCCACCATGTCCAGTCAATTCCCATGTATTATCTCACAGTTCTATATGTCAGAAGTCCATGAATGGGCTAGCTCAGTCCCCTCCTCAGGCCTCAACAAGCCAAAATCAAGATGTTGACCAAGGCTGCAATTCTTATCTGAGGATTGGGGTCCTCTTTCAAGCTTATTTACTCTTGGCATAATTCACTTTCTTGTAGCTGTCACTAAGACCCCTGTCTTCTTGCTCATTATCAGTTATTGATTAGTTTGTCAGGCCTGGGAATTAATCTCTGTGGCTCTCTGTTCTACCATCTAGTCCTGTAGTTCCACCCTCTGAGTCATCCTTTCTTTTTATGAAAAAGTAGCAAACTTTCGGAGCTGAGTAGTTTATTAGGTTGTTTCCTGTCAGAATAATTTTGGGGATCCAACAAACTTCTTTCTTTGTACTTTCTTGGTCCCTTTCAAGTCAAGCATGCAGCATTTCAGCTGATATAATGTTCTCAAGGACTTTGTGAGCCTTATGTGTAATCTCCATCTATAGATTTTTGCTCGATTAGACAAAAGTCATATCTATAAATCTTTTTATCATAACCTCTTCTTTATTTTTTGTTCCTCTTCTTAGAGGCACTCTGGCTTGATTGAGAGGATATGCGGAGCAACTCTTAATCTCTTGAAATAACCTGAATATTCTGGAAGTTTACTATAGGCTGCTAGCATCTTCAGCACTTTGCTTGACAATCTCCTCAACTATATATATGTTTATGGATTGAAAGCTGTGTTTTCTCCATAACTGCAGGAAACAATTTTGCTAAGCATTCTGCCATTACATAACAGAGATCATCCTTCCTATTTTTAAGTACAAACAAGGTACATTAAAAACCAATTAATATTTCTGCTCTTCCAAACATCCCCTCCAGAGATGTGTGTCCTTTCACAGTGTTTAAAATCTGCTAATATAAATTTATAAAAAATGTGTATACATATTTAAATTTTACTTTCCCTTTCCTTTAAAAACCTGTTTCTTTGAAATCAAGGTGTCAGCCAGCTGCCTCCTCATTTGGAATCATAACTAAGGAAATATTTGTTCCCAGCCTCCCTCAGGTAGTTTGCCAAACTCAGTTCTTTTGGTTGTGGGAGTAAGTCCCTGTTGTCTTGTTATTTGTCAGATAGGGCCACTCTCAGCTTCGGGGGGCTGCTTTCAAGTCCTTGCCAGATGGCTCCCTCCATAGATTCTCCAGCATTTTCAATCTTTCTGACCGCAAGCATTCCTATGATTTCTTAAGGACTCGGCTAATTAGGTCAGACCCACCTAGACTTTTTTTTTTTTTTTTTACTGAACTCAAACTTTACTGATTAATAACCAATTACGGGAATCTTATCCCATCCTATTCTCAGGATCTGTCCACACTCAAGGGGAGGGTTATCCTAGGCATGCAGAGCAGGGAGTGGGAGTCATGCGGGCCATTTGAGAATTCTGCCTACCACAGTAGCACAGCCACAATCCATTCCAGATTTCCTTTACTCCAAAGCCTCTTCCACTAATATTACTCTATACCCCCATCTCCTAGGGTTATTGTGAAGCATATTCCTTAATATGCTAAAACCAGCATAGATGTTTATACTTTTTCAAAATATCAGGCACAGACCAAATTTATTTACCTCCCACCAGTGCAAAGATAAATCCATATTTGCTCAGAAACATAGATATTTGGTACAAATTTACATATCAGGATATTAATTACAATGCTTGATGGTACAATTAATGTAGCTAAATATTTTCTCATAATTCAGTTGAACAAAATCATAATATGTTCTCAAATAATGAAAACTCATTAGGTATATTACTGAGTATCTTCTCAGATTATATTGTTATTTGGAGTTCCATTCAACTCATAATAACTGGTAAAGTTCCATTGGTTTAAAGAAGATAGGCTTTTCTCTCCCTTTTAAGTAACAGGCTGATTATAAGCATCTAGGGCTGATATGATGGCCCCTAGGTATTGGGGACCCATGATCCTTTTATGTTATTGCTCAGGCATCTTTTTTTTTTTTGTATCAGTGTTTTGTAATTCAAAAGTTAACTTCATAAACATACACACACAGGCACATATATACCTACACACATACACACATATCTCTTTATTTTTTATTTTTGGGGTTTGCATGCTCTTCCAGAACTACCAATAAGTGAGAGTTGATTATACATAAGCTAATAAAATTTCATTCTCAAAGTAAACTGTTATTTATTAGTAATAACCACTTTTATTACATAATCATATGGTGCACTAATTTTACAGTACATGTCACAGTTAGAAAAATGACAGGTGGCATCCTGATCTGTGCTGCTCTTGAATAACTAACCTACATAAGCACAGTAAGAAAACTCATTACACAACAACATATGTGGACACATCATTTCAGGATGCCATATGCTTCTAAGACACATATAAAATAATTATCACAGCTAGCCCCAGATCTTATCATGTGTATTTCATTGAGCTTTAGCTGGGAGACTAGGAGGCTTAATTATTCCATAATCACTCCATTCCTTTTATGTCCCTTCCATTTCAAGTTACTTTGTTCTCATTATCACTGATAATTTTATTTTCTACCAATAATCTTTTCTCTCTGTCCCTGGTCAGGCATCTTAAATACATGTCTTCAATCATGTGCTTTAAGGTGACCCCTCCAGCCCCCTTCATAATTCCAGGTAACATGGACAAGTAGAAGGAGAGAGAAGACATGGTCATTTAAATTAAGATGAATGACTAGAAGTTGCAAGCACTGATTTCCTCTTACATCCCATTTTTATAGAGCCTGGTCAAATGTCTATTCCCAGCCGCAAAGGAGTCTGTAAATGTTATTCTTTGCTGAACGATGACAGACCCAGCTTAGAATTTTTATTGTTATAGAGAAAAGGAAAAATGGACCTCGAAGGATGACTAGCCATGACTGCCACGTGTTTTCTAACTGCAGTCCCAAGCTTTGTTGGTCAGTTGAACAGCTCTGACCTATTATTTCTGGCTGAGTAGAGGCATGGGAATAATAATACAGGATTCAA